TCTGGCTCACTGCCCCACCTGCTGTGTCCCACACTGGTCCTGGCACCTGTAGGCACACAGAGAGTATTTGTTGAGTAATAAATAACACTGTTGCCCTTGTCCAGTCTCCAGGGGTATCTGGAATCCAGCTCTCCTTGGAAACAGCAAGATGGACAAGAAAACCACTCAATGGCCTCCTGAACCCCATCAGAGGAGGAATGCACAAGAAAAACTGGCAGGGATCACCTAGGTGGCTCAGTCGGTTGAGCGTCATGATCAGGTCATGATCCCAGGATTGTCCCCCTCACCCCCCGCCGGGCTCCTCTCTGAGAGTGGAACCTGCTTGAGAGTCTCTCTCTCTCTCCCTCTCTGTTCCTCCCCAGCTTATGCGTGCACACTCTCTTTCTCAAAATTAAAAGTTAAAAGAAGAAAGAAATACTGGCCTGTTTTCATGGTTTATCTGTTCATTCATCCACTTATTTAACTCTTTTAGCAAACTCTGAGTGCTTCCTGACAGCCAGAAACTGCTCTAGAAACAGAAACCTCAGTGAGCTATACCAAAGTCCCTTCTTCAAGGACCTTACGCTCCCACAACCAACATTTGATTATTTTTTTTAAGTTTATTTATTTATTTTGAGAGAGACAGAGACAGCATGATCGGGGGAGGGGCAGAGACTGAGAGAGAGAGAGAGAGAGAGAGAGAGAGAGAATCCCAAGCAGGCTCCACACTGTCAGCACAGAGCCCTACACAGGGCTCGAACTCACGAAACTGAGTCAGACGCTTAACCAACTGAGCCACCCAGGCACCCCTCGACATTTGATTATAAACAAGTAAACAGAACAATGACAGGTAAGGGTTCGGCAGAGCCTAAAACTGGGTCTTGGGAGGAGAGTGTGAGTTAGCTGGTCTGTTAGAGAAGAGGTCCGTGGACTGAGCACGGGGCAGACCTGGATACGCATGAGCTCCCTTGGTGCCAGCCCGGTTATCCCCAAGTATTAAGACGTCCTGGGTAGGCAGGCAAGAGCAGGTGGAAGGGATCAGATAAAGCGTGCCCTTGGCCAGCTAGTTCCCCTTAAAAGTGACAGGTAGCTGTGTCCCTGTGAAGTTCCGGGTCCACTGAGCCTTCAGAAGCACCCGCAGCCTCAGCCTCAAGGCGCCTGCGCATAAAGGAGAGCAGCAGACTCCTGCCCAGAGCGTGCGGGCGACACTGCTGGGCCCTCTGCTAAATATCCACCCGCTGGGTCTACTTACTTAAAGCGAGAAGGTGCCTGCAAACCAACCATCCTCACAGGTAGATGTGTTTTAGGGCTCAGGAAACAGGGCTCCACCCTGTATTTAAACTCTTAAATACAGAGAATAAACTGAGGGTTGATTGGGGAGGCAGGGGGAGAGGGGAAGATGGCTGATGGGCATCGAGGAGGGCTCTTGTTGGGATGAGTCCTGGGGGTTGCATGTAAGCGATGAGTCACGAACCCCAAAACCAAGAGCACACTGTATACACCGTATGTTAGCCAAGTTGGCAATAAATTATATAGAAAAGAAACTTAAAAAAAAAAAAAGGTTTCACAGCAAAAACAAAAACAAACAAAAAAGCAACAACAAAAACCTCTGCCGTGAGTAAACCCGAATAGAACTGGCTCGTCTGGTGGCTCCGTTGGTAGAGAGCACACCTCTTGATCTCAGGGTCGTGAGTTCGAGCCCCACACTGGGTGTAGAGCTTATTAAAAAAAAAAATCAAGGGGCGCCTGGGTGGCGCAGTCGGTTAAGCGTCCGACTTCAGCCAGGTCACGATCTCGCGGTCCGGGAGTTCGAGCCCCGCGTCGGGCTCTGGGCTGACGGCTCAGAGCCTGGAGCCTGTTTCCGATTCTGTGTCTCCCTCTCTCTCTGCCCCTCCCCCATTCATGCTCTGTCTCTCTCTGTCCCAAAAATAAATAAAAACGTTGAAAAAAAATTAAAAAAAAAATCAATAATAAATGAAAACAAATAGAACTGCAATGAACTTGTGATACCTGATTTGGATGCTAAGATGACCAAAAATAACAAAAGCAATCACACACACTTAGGTGACAAAGTCCCACAAGATGTGTGCTCTCACCCGTACAGTTTTGTCTTTGCTCGGGCTTCCTGGGGTGGTGTGCATCCGGAGGCTTGGTGCGCACTTTGGCTCGAGTGCATCTCTCTCTTATTGGTTGCACACACTTTTTTATCTCTCCCTCTTTCACTTATTCATTCACCAAACTTGGGCATCCCCACCATGATCCAAGTCCTTAGTAGGCTCTACGGTGGGGAGCAGATAGACTGCAATGGTACAAGACAGCCCCCATCTCAGACAATTCATGTCCCTGTCTCCTGCCTTGGGGAGCGCGGCCCCACCTACCTGCTGCCCCGGGAGGTAGATGTTCTAGATGCTTCCGCGTCATCAGCTTTCTCGCACCCGAGCACCAGATGTAGTCACTTCTACCTTTAAGTAACTCTGATCTCCTCCCTACCTCCTGGTGGTGCCCTAGGTCGGGCCTTTGTCTTTCTCCTGGATTGCTGCAACACCTGCCCCCAGCCTCTGGGTCCTACCACCTCATGTACCCTCCAGACGCCCTCTATGGGCACGGCCATGTTTAACAAACACATCTGGTCCAGCCTTTTCCCACCAAAGGCCCACAGGCCGCCGAGAGTCTGTCTCATCCCTGTGTCCAGCTGTATGGCCCTGTGACACCTGTATGGGCCCTCCCTCCACACTGGACTGGATGAGTCATGTGCTCCCAGAAGTTCTGGTGGCACCTCCCGGGACCCTGTCTCCCTTATAGAGTGCTGCACAGATCCTCTAGCACTACCGGTGACACGCTGGGCCAAGGCGACCCGTCAGATTTTTCCTCCTCACCGAGCTGGGTAACCATGTGGTGGCAGACGAGGCCCCGCAGAAGGAGCCAGCCAGCGCCCAGCGCAGGCAGCAGCTGGTGTCACCATGGAAACCGCGCACAGCGCCGCACGGGGCCGGCCTTTTCACTCTGCCTTTTTGGCAAGGCTTCCTCAGCCACCCTGAAACCCATTCATCGGGGTGAGCCAGGGCCCTGCCCCTGCCCCCCACCGCCCTTGGTCCTCTTTGGCCAGCTCTTCCTCCCCCAGCTCTTCCTCCCCTCTTCCTCCCCGGCTCCCTTTCCCAGCCACCCTCCCCTCTGCAGCCTTTGCCAAAGCGCTGGGAGGGGAAAGCTGGGCCAAGGAAGGACTCAGATTTTCAATTCTAAGCAGATTTCCCCTCCACAGGCAGCGAGCCCTTTCATGCATTTTTTCCCCTATTATCATAAACGCAGGAACTTGCATCAGGGTGAATGAGCAGAAACTCCTGTCTTTGTCAGAGCCTTGGCAGAACGCCAGGCATAGAATGACCTAAAACATTCAGAATTAAATGGAGCTGGAGAGGGGGTGGAGATCCCTTGTCTTGTCGTGAGAAATGGAATGGTGGGGGGTGGGGGGTGGCCCTTGTCTCTGATTATAATAATAGTGCTCGCCATGTGCCCAGACACCGTGCTAAGCAAGCCCTTTGCACAGATTCTTGTTTATCCTCACAAAATTCCTATGCCCTATTTATACCCCCCTTTGTACAGATGATGAAACAGAATCAGGAATGTCAAGGAACAGGCCCGAGGTCACACAGCAAATGAGTGAAGGGGTGGGATTCGAACCCTTCAAACTCTGGAGCCTCAACCACAACTTCAAGGTCACCTTCCTTCGGCCGGTTCAGGGACAGCTCCGCAATCAGTTCCCATCCCCATCCCCATCCCAGACCCTCCAGACCCTCCTCCTACCCCATCCCTCCCCTCACTCTGCATCTCCTTCCTTCCCATTTGTCAGTGTCATTTTGCAAATCAGACTGATTTAACTACTTCCTGCCCCAAAATTACATCTAGAGAGGACACCCCCAGGCAGAGGGAAGAGAGGCTCTTCAAGATCCAACCGGGGCATGTTTGCACCTCCTGGAGGGTAGAGACCTTGCCCTCTGTAACCCTTCATGTCACATGTTTGTCTCTGGCATACTCTGACACAGAACAAGTGCTCAGTAAATGTCTAGTGCGTGCTGTGCTGAATGTTCCACGTCCCCCACTCCAGGTTCATAGTCCACCCTCTGCTACCCTTTCTGTGCCCTGGAGCCTGACCTCTACAGGACGTTGTCACGGAGCTCTTTTGCTGTCTGGCTTCTGGATGGATTCAGCCAATGGGAAGCTGCAGCAGGAGGTAAGACGCAGGAGACGGACATGGGGGTCTTTATCCCCCACTCACTTGGAACCATGGGTTGGCCTTGGCTCCTCTCTTCCACCAAAGGCCATGGCTCCTGTCCTGTCATCCTATCCTACAGCTCAGCCGGCCCAGGCTCCCTCAGGCCCAGCCCCTACCCTGCTGTTAGCCCAGGGAGGCCTCGCCATCTCTTATTAATTCTCCTTACCATGTCTACAACTTAGAAGTGATGCTCTCAAGCAACTTGCCTGGATCCCTTCTAGGCCTGGTCCCTTCCAGGACACAGACAAATGCAGGCCCCTGCTACCTGCCGCACCCTCTTGTAGGCAACAAGATACACAAAACCCTGGGCCTCGTGGAGTTCACACGGAAGACAACAGCCAGCAGACAAACAGAACAGATCCTAGGTCAGGAAGTGGCGAGTGTCGTGAATGGGGCAGCACACAGATGAAAGAGTGAGTGAACGTCATCACTTAGGTGTCACCACTAGACTTTAGAAATGGTCTGGTCTAGGGGCGCCTGGGTGGCTCAGTCGGTTGAGCGTCCGGCTTCGGCTCAGGTCATGATCTCACAGCTCACGTCAGGCTCTGTGCCGACAGTTCAGAGCCTGGAGCCTGCTTCAGATTCTGTGTCTCCCTCTCTCTCTGCCCCTTCCCCGCTCATGCTCTGTCTCTGTCTCTCAAAACTGAATAAACATTAACAAAAATTTTATAAAAAAAAAAAAAAAAAAGAAATGGTCTGGTCTAAGCCCCCTACTCGACAAATGAAGGAAAGGAGGCCCAGAGAGGGATGCTCAAGGTCTCACGGTGGTGAATTATTGGTAAAAGTTGGGTGGATTCCAGCTGTCCTTGACTCTTCCATAGCCATGGCCAGAGGGGTCTAGCTCAGCCCGTGGAAGTGGTAACAGGTGGATGCGAAGGCCTTTGAGGTTCCTTCTGGTTCTTTCCTTTCTTTAAGGACAGTCTTCCAGAAGCAACAGCGGGAGCAGCAGTGGGTTTGCTGGAAGGCTGAGGCAGCAGGGCAGAAAAGAAGGTGTCACCTGGCAGGAACAATGGGAATGTCTCTGTTCCCCCTAGGGGGCACCTCGATGCCTCCCTGCACAGAGGGACTGTGGGCCCTGGAGCCCCTAGGATGCAGGGGTGGACAGGCCTGTGGAGCAGGGTACTAGGGCTGCAGCATGGGGGGAACTGGCGGAGGGCTTGTGCTGTGTTTGGGAGGGTATTGTCTTTTTGTTGCTGACCAAGCCTCAGCCCACGTGCAGGGCTTGGCTGGGAATCTGCAACTGCCCTGGTTGACTGGGTCATCCGTTTCCCACCCGGCTTACCATCTTGGCATGCCCCCAGTGCCCTACTGGGTGCAGGGAAACCACAGTAATCACGTATTGAACCCGCAATATGCCAACCGCGGTTCATGCATTATCTCAATACGTGGTCATCTTTGCAACTATCCTATGAGACCAGTTATCCTCCCCCATTTTGCAGATGGGGAAACCAGTTCATCAGAGTTCTGTGACTTGCCTAGTACAGCAGGAGGATTCAGCTCAGACTTGTCTAACAAGAAAGCCTGGGTTCTTGCCCCATACCCTCACAGACTCCTGCCAGGGGGCTTCCGGGAATCTTCCAGCCCACCAGCCCACTCTCCCAACTGGCCCAGGGCAGGGGCTGTGGGTTGTACCCCTCTCCCCTTTCCACCACCTCCTCGGCATTGGCCTGTAGAGTCTTGGGCCAGTGCCCAGCGCGGCTTCTCTGCCATGTGGCCGTGCACCAGGCTCTTGGCCCCCAGGCCAGGCTGGGGTTGCCATGGCAATGCCCTACCCTTGGACTGCCTCGTGAGCCCAAAAGCCACTGGAATGTCTCAGAAATCCCACCCTTCAGGCCAGCATCCAAACTGCCTCTCCCAGACGGCCACTCTCATTATGAGCAACAGGAAAATCTTTTCAGGTCGTGTCCTGATTTTCAGTTTGGAAAACAGATGGCCACCATTGTGAGGTTCCCATCCGCCCTTTATTTTCCTTTTCCCTTCCATTCTGTCCTCTCTTTCTCTCAGCACCCAGTAGTGCGTGGTGGTTGCAAGCGAGGACAGAGCCTGAGCTCAGATTTCAGTTCCTCCACTTCCCAGCCATTTGACCTTGGACTCCTCCTTGGGGCTTGATTTCGTTGTCTTTCATAAGGATCATTGATCTTACCCGTGTCCTTGACTTTTGTGCAGATCATCCTGCTTGCCTTCCTTGTCACTCTCGTACAGACCACTTCACCTATTTTGTTTTGTTTTGTTTTGTTTTGTTGGTTGTAGACTCTTTTCCCTCTACTAGAATGCAAGCTCCATGAAGACAAGGATTTTTTTTTTTTTTTAATCTGTTTCCATGGCTGTGTCCCCTGTGTCTAGAGCAGTGCCTGCACACGGAGGGTATTCAAAAATTATTTGTGGATTAGAAGTGGATGGATGGAGTTAAACAGGCCAATGGCACAGGAGTTTTCAGACGCTGATTCTGAGGCACCCGGGACTGTACCAGGTGGCTGAAGCACCTGGCATGGGGCCTGGCCTGTGGTTAGTGCTTGAGGTTGGCCGATGCTATTGTCTTGTTCCTTTCACTTTCCTCCACCCACACCAGTACCTTGGGCCTCCCAGTGACGCCCTCGGGAAGCCCTGTTGGGAGCCCGCAGAGGGAAGCCTTGGCTGAGGCAGCATCCTGAGCCAGAGCCGGCCAGTCCAGCTACGGACACATCCCACAGGGACAGCCCCTGGCTGCCAGGCCTTTCTCTTCCTTCCTCTCACCCACGCACGCACGAGGGAGGTTGAGTCAGGACGGAATGCTGGGGAACAGTAGCCTCAGGCCACCCACGCTCTTGCTGCCCAGGCAGCCTGCTCTGCCCAGGACTGCTACAGGAAGGACCCCAGGCCATGCAAGCAGCACAGGGTAGGGGACCTGGGAGCAAAGAGCTGCCCTTCCTGCCTGAGGTCCCCGTGCAGACACCTGGCAGGCTGCAGGCTCCCCGGGGCCACTTTCCCTTTCCATTTTCTCCACCAAAGCAGAAACAGCAAGGCCAGGGACTGCTCCACCAGCTCATGGAGATGGGGGGAGCGGGGCTGGGGTGTCAGAAAAACCAACCCTGGGCATGGGGAGAAAGGGAGCTCAGCACCTTCCTGTGCCCCACATCCCTGTGAGTAAATCTCCACTAATGATACTCCCTTACATTCCTCCAGCAAGGATACTTTTCAAAGCATCGTCATGATTATTATCTCACTGGATCCTCATTCTGGGATGGTGGGGGGTGGGGGATGGAAAAGATGGGAGTTAACGAACAAAAGAAAAAAGAAGTCCACCAGCTTAGAGGCGACCAAAGCCAGGACGCGAGCACTTTGTCGTGTTTGTCTTGCCAGACTTCCTCACTGTCCCCAGAGGTCCCGCTTTGAGCAGGAGAGTCCTGCTCAATCCCTGTCCACTAGGGGGAAACTGAGGCATGGGCCTGGCAGGACCTGGTGTGGAAACATGGCTGGCACCTTCAAGACACTCCTAAGGAACGGGATTGGATTCGCTGGAAGAGTCCGGTGTGTCAGGAGCTGGCATGGAGAGGAAATGACTTCCGGGAGGGGAGACAGAGCCTTCGGCAACCTGGAAGAAAGGCTGGTGTGCACTCTCATTTTCTAGATAGTAAATAGCTGGCCTAAAGACACGGAGCTAGCAACTGTGAGAGCGGGAATTCTCAGCCAGGCCTGGATTACTCCAAAGCCTTCTCGTTGGTTTCGGGGCTGGTGGCTACCCCAACTGTGGCACCTATCCACAGGCCCTGCACACAAGCACTCCCCTCGCAGGCTCTGTCCCTCCCTGTGCGAGTCGCCCCAAGGAGATGTGTGCTTTGGAAATCGTGTGTTCCGTCTCAGGCCTGCCCCTCATCTGTACTCCACGTAATAAACGTTCCTGAACACCACTACGTCCCAGACGCTATTCTAGGTACTAGGGACACAGCAGGGTCACACAAGACAGAAAAAAATCTCTGCCGTGATGAAACTTTTCTGGAGGGAGGGGCGGGGACGGACAGAAAGGAAGTAAACAAATAAAAAAGGTAAGCCCAGATAGCCGTAAATGCTGTAAGGGAACGAACACCGAGTAATTACACGGAGAATAACTGGCAGTAGGATGTCAGAGACAATCTCACCTAGGAGGTGAAAGTTTATCTCATTTCTGCTAAGATTAGGGCCAGTCATGCAGAAATGGGAGTGAGGACAGAGGAGGTGGGAACAAGCCCAAGGTTGGGCTCAGTGCCAGGGACAGTCCTGGGTCCCATGTTGTCCTAATGTCATTTGTAATAGTCCCTCCTTCCATGGTCAAGAGCGGCCCGTTTGAAAGACATTACCAACGACGAGGGGTTGAATTTATTTTAAGTGCGGTGGGTAGCCACTGGAGGAAATCATGTGATTGATGTCTTGAAAAGGCCTTGCAGGCTGTTTCCTGAAGAATAAATTACAGAGGCAACAGGGCAGAAGAGCGAGGCCAGGGGTGGCTGCGACCACCCAGGCCCTCCGTGATGTCCCCTTTCACTAGATTCCAGTGTGGATGTTAGGGTGCAAACAAGAGTGTTGACCAAGACCCCCAAAGATTTCCCAGACTCAGGCCCTGAGGGAGACTTGGGCACTCCTGAGAAGACCCTCGGAGCTCAGGGCCCTCTCCTCACGGTTCTATTGTCTTGATTGTGGAGCCCAGAGAGTGGGAAGGGCCAGCCCCCCCCTGCCTGTGCCCCACCTGCATCCAGCCTCTCCCAGGCCCGACCTGGCCAGCCCAGCACCAGCCAGCCCACCCCGCCTCCCTGCAGGAAGCCGGCTGGCAGCGCCTGCTGTGTGACCTTGGGCTGCAAAGTCCGGCTTTGCAAAGTCAAAGTGAGTCACTTCCTCCCTGGGGCCTCCCCCAGAGCGGGCAGCCCGTGGCCGCTCCCTGCCCCCTCGCCGCTGGCCCGGGACTGGCGCTGGCACGCACGCGCTGCTCCGTATGCTAAGTGCTCTCGCTGCGCCCGCCGCCCCGGACGCTCATTTGTCACCCGCTGCTGACTCAGCACTTCTGGGGAAGGCTTTTCCCTTCGCCTTTGAGGAGGAGGCCTGGAAACGAGGCGGCCTGGCTCTTCCCTCCCTCCGACTGTGTGTGTGTGTGGGTGTCTGTGTATAAGTCTGAGTGTCACTGGGTCTGTGTGTGTCTTTTGTGTGCAGCTGAGTCTCTTGTGTGTGTCTTTTATGTGTGTTTTTATGTGTGTGCCTGTCCAGGGGGGGTCTTTGGGTGTCTGTCAGCCTCTTTCCTGTGTGTGTGCATGTGTGTATGTGTCTGGATGGTGTGTGTGTGTGTGTGTGTGATATGTGTGTCGGGATGAGTGTGTGTGTGCTTCCCCATCACCACAGGCCTTTCCCTCCTCTTTCCCTCAGTCCTGCATGCACCCCTCAGACCTCACCTTACTCTCAGAGTGACCCCCACTTTTCCTCCCTAGTGTCCCCCAGCTCCCGTCTGCACCCCCTCTGTCTCCTGCCTTCTAAACACAGGACCTCAGTGATTAAAAGCACAGGCTCGGGAATCAGACAGATCTAGGTTTCAACCTCAGTTCTGCCCTTGCCAGCTGAGTGACCTTGACTGAGTTACTCACCTTTCTCAGCCTCAGTTTCTTCACTTATAAAATAGAAGTGCTCCTATCTCCCTACGGGAGAGAGAATCTCGTGATAGAGCATGCTGCAAAGGGGGCCTGTTATTTCTTCTTAAAGCGATGGGCCCAGTGTCAGGCACACAGCCAGAGTCTAATGAGCAGCACTTAAGAACAAAAGCACTGAGCGCCGTCTCCTTGGCTGCTGGGGAAGGGAGGGGTGTGGGAGCCAGTGACCTGGATTGGGAGCTGGGCAGGAGCTGTCTGCACGACAGCTACTGCAAGGCAAGACAAGTGGTGACCTGATTTAGTGCTGCTTTGGGCAGCCAAGGAGGCAAGGGAGGAAGTCACGGGAGAGGGGCTCGGAACTGCTAGTCCTGGCCTTCCCCAGACCAAGTGCTGCCTGACGCCCCCAGCTCCAGAGAGGGCCCGAGGAGAGCAGGACAACTCCTCCAGCCCCAACCCCAGAGCAGCCTCCTGCTTCGTCCCTGGGAGCCCCCCCACATCCATTTGCTTGGATCTTCTTAACAGACGTGTCAGGGGGGTTCTTAGCGTCCCCATTTTGCAGCTGGGCAAATTGAAGTTTTGGGAGGTTGAGCTCCAAGGTCGCGGCACTAACACGTGGCAGAGAGAACCCCGGCGATCCAGCTCCTAGCCCAGGACTCCCTGGATGTCTGCACCACCCGGCCGCTTCCTGCACACACGTCTGCACCAGCGCACACCCTGGTGGGCCCTCCCTCTCTGCCCGCAGGCAGGGCTCCCACACAGATTGGCACCACGCCCTCCCGAGCGCCAGCTCCTGGAGCAAATTCTTCCCAGAGCCTGCCAAGCCCTGTTCCCCTTCGTTGAAAGTAGGGCTTTTTTCAGAAGGTTTAGTATTTATCGTCTCGAGGCCCGCAGTGTGGACTGTCACTCCATCCGCTTGCTATGTCTAGCAGGAGATGTAAACCGGCTTGGGAAAGGGACACAGGGGACCTTCCCCGACTGGCAGGGGAGACGGATCAGCCAGCCCCGCACGCACTCCAAAGGTGCTGCCTCCGCTTGGTTCTGGCTTCTGAAAGTGGGAGGTGGAGCCAACTAGAAAGCAAACCAGGGATCCAGGCAGGTGGGAGTAGTGAGAGTGGGAGCTCGGAGGGCAGGAGGCCCCCGTTCATGCTTCTGTTGCTAACTGGCTGTGTGGCCTTGGGCAAGTCACTACCCTCTCTGGGCCTGAGAGTCCACATCTATAAAACGGACATTGCTCTCAGGTTCCTTCCAGCTCACACACAGTCCTAGGTGCTACTAGACCTGGATCAAGGCCAGGTGTGTGCTATCGGGAGCTACCAAAGACCTAGATGGCAGTGGAGACTCCAGTTCCATGCCCTGTCACAGCCCTGTCTCCAGCTCGCCCTGGGAACACCAGCAGAGGAGGGGCAGGTGGGCAGAAAGAGCCAGCGTGAGGGGTCTGAGTGCTGAAGATAGGACTTAGAAGAAGTCCAAAGTATAAGGGGGCACTAGACAGCTTCTTTCACTCCTGCTCCGGGGGATCTGGAGACAGAACATTGGGTTCTCTGCTCAACCCTGGCCTGGATCTGTAGGTGAAGCCAGGAGTCATTTCCACTTTTGGGGCCTGTGACTCGTGGAGAAAAAAGGGATGATAAGCATCTCTGGCCTTCCTGATTCACAGGGTTATCCGAGCATGAGGTGGGGCCCCTTGCAAAGCAGACATGCCCATTTCTGTCCAGACACAGTCCAGGCGGGCAGTGGGCGGCTGCAGTCTGTCCTTACATGGGGCTGAAGGGACCCAGCCACTCAGTGACTCACTCACCCAGCCAGCTGAAACCCAGGCCCCACCCTTCCCTTCCCCTGCTACCCACAAAAGCCCCTTAACATAGCACTCTTGTCACACTGAGACCAAGGTAGAGAAAGGCATTTCCAAAAGTTGGTGGATAGCAACCAGGAAATAAACAGAAAGCCATGTGATCCCTTCATTATCCAGCTCTGGAGCCACCTACCTCTGGGCTTCCTGGTGTGTGATTGTATTCACCCCTTATAGTTTAAGTTGCTTGAGTTAAGTATTTTATTCTTGGCAGTCATCTTGCAACTGAAAGCAGCCTACCACATAGGAACCCGGTGGCCCTCCTGGGACGTTATCCTCACCTGGGACGTTATCCTTATCGCAGATAGTCGGCCAGGAACAGGGGCTGGGGGCATCAGAGGAAGTCTGATTGGACCAGATCTGCTAACCCGATGATGGTGGTGACTTTCGGGACTATAGATCTGCTACAGGGTGTATTCGTAAGGAGAACATGGAGGCAAGGAACTCATCAGGAAAGCTGGGGCCAAATTCCAGCTGTCAGGAGTTGAAGACCCAGCAGACTGAAGAACCGACTCCTCCTTCGATCGTGAGTTGGGACCTATTAGTGGATCATGAAATCAATTTGGTGGATTGCACCCCAAATTTTTTTTTAGAAAGAGATACAATGAAAAAATGTAAGCACGGGTTACATATATAAAAAGGAACGTCTAGTTGCATAAAACTCTTGTTTCAGGGTACATATAAAGGGGCGCCTGGGTGGCTCAGTCAGTTAAGCATCCAACTTTGGCTCGGGTCTGATCTCACCATTCACGTGTTCGAGCCCCGCGTCAGGGCTCTGTGCTGACGGCTCAGAGCCTGGAGGCCGCTTCGGATTGTGTCTCCCTGTCTTTCTGACCCTCCCCTCCACCCCCACCCCCCGCACCCTGTGTCTCTCTCGAAAGTAAATAAAAAACATTAAAAAAATTTTTTAGGGGCGCCTGGGTGGCTCAGTCGGTTAAGCGTCCGACTTCAGCTCAGGTCACGATCTTGCGGTCCGTGAGTTCGAGCCCTGCGTCGGGCTCTGGGCTGATGGCTCAGAGCCTGGAGCCTGCTTCCGATTCTGTGTCTCCCTCTCTCTCTGCCCCTCCCCCGTTCATGCTCTGTCTCTCTCTGTCTCAAAAATAAATAAACGTTAAAAAAAATTAAAAAAAATTTTTAAAAGGATATGTATGTAAACACTCATCAGAGTAATGAATTGAGATGAGAAATGCACTTCTTACTTGTGGGTCAGGGTTTTTGTTGTTGTTTCCTAAGATTTTATTTTTAAGTAATCTCCACACCCAATGTGAGGCTTGAACTCACAGCCTGGAGATCAAGAGCCACATGCTCCACCAGCTGAGCCAGCCAGGCGCCCTGGGGGTCATGGTTTGAAGGTTTGAAAACCACTGCTCTAAAAAACAAAGGAGGGAAGACCAAAATGTGCCCTTTGTGTGGGTGAGAAGCAGAGATCTCTCGTCCTAACATTCGATTCCGTACCCCTAGGATGGTCTAGGGGGAATAATTGCCCTCCACTTTCCAGAGCACAGAATGAGGCATCCCTTTTGCACCTAAATGTGCTACCTTCTTTAGTGGGAAGGCAGAGATGGTGACTTTTACCCCGATTCTCCATCCCTGGAATGGATGTTTTTCTGTTTCCCAAGAACCTCCACGGGGCAAGTTGGTCGAGATTTTTGGATGTAGGGTCACTTGCTGAGCCTTCCAAGTGGCAAGTGCCACCTTGTCCCCAGTCCCGTCTTAAGAACCTGCAGAGAGGCGGAGGGTAGCTTGGGAAGTCAGGAAAGACAGGTTTGGCCCCTGGGTGTCTTTCCTCAGATGCCTTCCCCTCCCAGTTCCACTATTTGGTAGAATCTTGAATGTAGTGGGGAAGGACAGAGAAAAAACTAGAAAGCTCGATTTCTGCCACCGGGAAGGAAGCCCCACGGTAGCCAGACCTGGTGGTTAGCCCCCGTTTGCCATTTGCAAATCTTGTCTACCCACCTCCAGCGAAAACTCCCAGCCTCACCCCAGGGGGCAATGACTAATTATGAAACACATTTTCTGTCTTTTCAGTCTGCTCAGCTCCCCGCCCACGGTGCCCCCTCCCTTCCTAACCCTGTGCCAGCCTAGACTGACTCCCTTGCTAGACTGGGTTGAATGAACTCTTGGCCCGGCCCCTCCCCAGACTGGGCCTTCTGGGGCTCTCTCCTCCCCAGTCAGCTTCACTTTCACTTTCCAGCTGCTCTCACTTCTCTGTCAGCTCCTCACCCTGGAGCTCGGAGCCCTGGCCCCCGTCCTCAAGGTGAGGGCCATTGCTGAAGTCCTGGGTGGCACCCGATTAGTCAGGTCTTGACTCAACCGTAGTCAACAAATATTTATGCAACATATTCTGTTTCAGGCTTCAAGTGTACAGGGAGAGCAATGTGAGCGAGGTTCCTGCATACAGAGTTCCAGAAGCCTGGGTGATGCAGAGGTGCGATCAAGCAATTAAAAACAGTGGACAAGCTAGAGCATGGTGCTAGAGAAGCACATGGAGAAGGGCAGCTGAGGCCACCCTGGGCAGCCAGGGAGGGCTCCCTGGAGGGAGAGAAGCCTGTACTGAAGCCTGAAGGGTGACCCGGAGTTGGCTGCCCGGCGAAGGAAGGGAAGGAAGAGCCTTCTCAGGCCTGTGAGTGGTGCCATCTTGGGGGAGGCTGGCTGGAGCCCACAGATGGGGGGCGGGGGGGGGGGGGGAGGGAGGGTAA